TCAGTTAATTCTGTTGAAAAAACAATGTTAGCTAAATCAACAATGAATATATGAAGTTAATTGAAACGACCATCAAGAAGATAAAAAGATTGTGTGAAACTTCGAGATGGAACACGAAATAATCAATGAACAATATCTTCATATGATGATTCAGAAAACATTAAATATGTTAAATTGATAAACACAGAGATATACAAATTATTAATCAAAATTTCTATAAATAATATTTTTATAACTTCATATTGAAATATAAAATAGAAAAATTCTTTCATATATTCAATGACCTATTCAACTGTATTAATAATTTCAACAAAATGTACGTAATCATTTTAAGAAAATTTTCATTTGTTTAGAATTAAAAGAATTCTATTCAGATTTTCTTACTGATAAAAAGATGTTTAGCTTTCTGTTCTTTCATATTATATAGGTCGAGTCCATATAAGTTAGAATAATTTGCATCACATAGAATATGTTTTACAGATGATAGTTCAAGATAAAATCATTTTGATTTTAATAGATATATCAGGTAAAATTTGTAAATAAAATCGATCAAGTATGACATTAAAAGAAAATTTATTAGATGACTTTTTTGACAAAGTTCAGACTACTAATGAATATTGGATCACGTATAATTCTATTCAATTGTTTATTAAAACCATGAAAAGAATAAAGTATATCAAGATTGTCCAATTTTTGCAAAAGTAAAAGTCAAAAGAATTTCATCGGATAAATTGTTCAATGCGACACATGACTCAATAAATAAAACTAAAGTAAGAAACGTGATTGATGTTGTTATTTCGAAATATCAATCATATTTCTGAATTAATATTGTAATTCGTCATTTCTTCCAGAATATATTTATTCATTCTATTTGATCGATGCCGTTAAGCAGAACAAGAATAATGCATTTTTCTTAATAATCGAAACTGTCAATGATTTAATGAGTTTATAGTTGGAAGAATGTTGTTATTTGTTACAGATGAACAGTCCTCAATTTATTCTTATGTGATGATCCTTTCTTTTGTTTCTTTGTAATAATTCATAAATATATTTAATATAGAAAAAAAAAATATAAAGTAAATTATACTATCTATGACAAAGTACAGGATGAATATATATAAACGGTCATATTCTTTCCATGTATGAATTATTTTAAGAATATTTCAATATGTTACACATATCTCATTACAACAACATTTGTTTTTAAATATTTTCGTACTATTATCCCTATGAGATTTATCATAAAATTTAGTTAATCAACGTTGTTTTATTGCATATCATTGATTGTATTTGTAATGAACTTTACAAATCTTCAAAGAAAAAGTTTTTGTAGAAAATTCTAACGATATTTTTCATACTTCAAGAAATGAACAATACATTTGAGATGTTTAAACCATTGATTTCAATAAGTAAACGTATCTGATTTAAAGTAAAATTGACTTTTCAAAGTTGAAATTAATTGTTATATAGAACAAATTGATATTAAAAAGAGAAAAAAAAAACATATCAACATGAAATATATTTAAAGTAATTGGAACAGCATTTGTTAATCGAGAAGCCATTGTTATAAAATATTCATAAACACAACATGAAACATGTTTTAGTGATTGATTTATTGCAGTTGTTACGTAAAAGAAAAAAATTAAAACAAAGAGACAAAGAGATGGTAATCGTAAAAATTTTTTTCATGCAAGAAAGATTTCAAATCAAAGAAAAATACAGAAAAATAGGGAATAATATTTAAGTTGTACAAACAGTACGATTCTAGTATTTTTTGATCTCGTCTTTCTAGTTTAAAAATGCTCTCCCCATCAATAAGCATCAATCCTATAACTAGTATCAATGTTTAATTCATAACTAACACCCTATTTTTGTTCTCTCTGTCTCTCACTGGTCCTCGTCTATCTGTTAGTATTCTATAGCATTAAACTGACACTTATTCAAGCAACTGCTCGAGCCGAATGAAATCATTAATTTATTCTCAAATTAAAGAACGATGAATTCGCATTTAATTTCCATAATGTATGAGCTAGTTTAATAATTTTGCTTTGACTTTGATATGAATACAATAACACAAAAAATAGTTTGTTTTGAATTCAGGAAGTTTATAGTCATGGTAACATTTAAAGAATGTTTCGGAAATTTTTCTTTCAATTACATATGAAATTGAGACTTTAAATTGATGGACAAGATTCGAATGAAGAAGACATGAATCAATGAAAAAAAAATTGATAAATGGATGTGAATTTGATGATCTGCCTATTTTTATTATAAACACTCACACTCTTCATGATGAATTCTCACTTATTCAGACAAGACTCTAACTGCAAATTAATTATCATTTCTTCAATGTAATCGAAGTATCGCTAATAATTCAAAAGAGGAACAGCATTTTTTTTTAATATTCTTTATTAAATAAAAGAAATTTTCGATTATTCAATTAACATACAATTAAACATAAAGAAATGGATAACATTTTCAACTAAAAAAAACAATACAATAGAAAAAGAGATTAAAAAAAAATGCTGTTTGGTGTTATACTGGTACATATCTTCACTTAGTTCATATATTTCATTATCATCTGATCGATTAGCAGTAAAATTTTCATCAAAATCAAGGAATCATTTGTAAAGTTCATTATTAACCATAACCAATTCATTCCAGATTTCTTGTTCAAAAAAAGGTTGAAAATTTTCAAATATCATATCATTTTTATGTATAATACGTAAAAATTTTAAATATGCTTTTTCTGCCGTCCAACACATATCACAATTTTCGTTATATGGATATTTACTTTTCACACAAAGTGCATTTTTATGATCAACAAAATGAATTCTTAAACCTTGAGCAGCAGTAAAATCAAAACCTTCCTTGCCAGCAACAATTGCAAACTCTGGATGATCCCATTTATAATTGAATTTATTCGAATCTTCATTATTACCCCAACGATAACATCGCCATAAAT